GCCAAATTGTTGTGGGAATCCGTTAGTATGTCGGCCAAAGTACTCTTTCTGGTGAGTTAGGAAGCCTAACGATGGCCGTGGGCTACATCGAGCGTTACAAAAATACTGCTTGTGCGTCAAAAGCCTACTTATCAGTGATGAACTTATAGGTTGTAGGAAGAAGGCTGTTGTGCTAGGGGTAATATAAAATGATGACCATTCGAGGAAAAGAGGCTTACGCCTGTAAATTTCCTATTTTCCCCATAAAATGTTGAAGGTTCACAAACAATGTGAAGAACATACAGTCACATGAATGGAGACAGATTCAAGTTGTTCGCTGGTGTTTTCAGATTTATGAGTCATATAGTCCTAATACCTATCACTTCGCAAACATACTTTTATTATGTGAATGATGCAACAGCAACCGAGACTCTATTCTTTGTCTGAAAGAACCACGGAAAATGTTAACCGATAATTCAGATTAGGCGAACCTCTTATAGGAACTTTTTTCGTTCACCTCTAGCTAAACGCGCAAAAGCTTAGCAATTGTTATGAGTGTAACGTATGCAGATTTTATTTATTTATTCCCGGTTTACAGGCAAGGTCCAAATTGAATTTATGGATAAAGCACCTCTTGGGCACCTTCCAAAACCTCGAAGACAGGAAAAAATCTAAAACGATCTTCGTCTTTTGCAGCCAGTATTGGTTTTGTTTTAGTTTTGTGCTTGGTCGATGGTGGGCGAAATAGGGAGTTTGTTTCAAAGGAAAAAAAACTGACTTAAAAGGTATGATACTAGCGAGAGATATGTACGGTTATATATCGAGTTGACAGTTTAGCAGAAAAAAACTGCTGCTCGTTGAATGACTTTAGCTCGGGAGGCGGGTTGACACAGAACACAGTGTTCTCAGTCTTCCTTGAGTGTAATGGTATAATGGTAAAGCAAATGAAGAAGGCCTCAAAGCACCTTGAACGGAATCCTTCAGAAAGATGCAAGATATTGGAGAAAGAACGTACAGTTGGGTGTTCCAGAAAACGCTAATTCAAAAAACATCCAATAGTACATGAACCACAGACAGTAACCAAATCCACAGATATTTGCACGGGTCCATTACACAAGACTGTTAAATCGAACACATTGCGTGCTTTTGGTATAAACTCGGCGTGTTTGCACCCAGACGGACTTCAAGGCCCACTATTTCAAATAACACAAGAGTCCGCAATGACTGATATCCTATACGATTGTAAATAAAACCGAACTACGCAACAAAGCCAGTACGAGCAGATGTCCCTCTAGCAACATAAGCATTTTATAGATCGAGCCAGTTCCTCTT